TTGAGGTTTTTGCTTTTTTTGAGCCTTGCTGGGAGCTCACTATCCCCCTAAAAGTAAATTCATCAATATTATGATGACTCCCTAAATGTTTCTAGAGAAAGAAAGCACTTTGGAGCTATGGACCTTTAAAATCCAGAGAAGACCCAATCTTAAATAACAGATAGCTTATATGCTGCAAAGGGAGAGTTGCTTGTGTCTTCGTCCTGGTCTGTCCTGCACCTAGAGGCTGGTGCAGGAGTAAGTAGCCGGGAATAGGAGGCTAGATGTCACAGCCAAAGTTAGGAATCTGTGCTCAGAGGCAGAGCCTGGTTACTTGGTGTAACATGTCGTGAGCTATATTACCCCCAACCCGGCGTCTTCTCCCAATGATTCTCGCGAGCATTTTTTAGTTCAGTAATCCCATGTTTATTTACATGTGTTCCCACATGCTTTGTGGCCAAATCCCCTTTCCCATAAATTCACACCGTGGTTTCAAATGAATCCCTCTTCCCCCAAGCGTATGCCCTCTTTAGCTCAACACGCCGGCAGAGGAACGGGGGGGACCTGGGCCCACCCTTGCTCCAGGTCCTGACCAAGGCTCCTAAAGATGGGGTAATCTTTCCCTGACTTGGTTGGTGGAGAGTTTCCCCTAAACTCACCAATCCGCTGACATCCACTCAGTCCCCTCCCCTCTCCCTGGGTTGCTTCCTTCCTCCCCAGCCTCTGTGGCATCTGGCTTCTCTGTTTAGTTGACCGGTTCCCTCTGTTCTCCCCCGTCCCTCTCTCTCTCACTCTCTCTTATATCTTGCTCCCCACATGCCCTGTCCCAAATGCCAGTGCCACGTCCCTTTCCTATCCCCAGATGCAGGGATGTCTGCTGATGTGGGCACATCTGCACCATCCTGCAGGCTCCGCCCCTTCAATGGGCCACTGCAGCTCACCTGCTGGGATGGCGTGGAGCCACGTGCATGCACCGTGGGCATGACACCACTCTGCAGGCTCTGCCCCCTCAGTGAGCCACGGCAGCTCTCCTGCTGGGGCAGTGCAGTGCTCTGCACATGTGCCATGGGGAAGACACCATTCCCCCTTTGCTGTGGTGCTCCCCACGGTACCCTGGTAGCTCCCTTGCCGGGAGTGCAGGGCGTGACCGCCCCGTCACACTTGGACAGAAGCTGGCTGGCTCTGAGGCAGGGAAGGGACTATGTCTGGAACAAGGCAGCTGCAATCTCCCCAATAACACTTTTAGCAACCACCAAACTGTGGCTGTGCCTAAAAGCTGATCATCTTGACTCTTCCCATCAGTTAGGTGATATAGCTAACTACATGCCAGCTGTGCCTGATCAGTCAGAGACTAGCTCTACTGTGAGCCCTGATTCTTGGCAGTCAGCTCTAGGTTAGGAAAAATGGTGCTGTGGAAGCATCTCTGCTACCTCTATTTCATTCCAAGATCAGGGAATCCATGCACTTAACTCTGGCTGAGTGATCTGGTGGTTAATGAAAAGAACTGATTCATATATTTAAGTAACTGAACAATCACCATCCTTTTTTCATCAACTGACACATTTGTATATCGGCTAATTTATTTATTTGTATTGGCAATGACTTGTCATTCTTCTAATGCCTATTTATTGCTGCTTTTGCCATTGTTAGTAATGATATTTTTACCTTGTTTGGTCCCCTTTTTCAGTTCTGAAAAAAATACTGTCACATGAATGCACAATCATTTGGTATCTCCTGCCCAACAGTTACTTCTACTTTGTCTCCTACTGATTGCCAACATTTTTGGATGTATGAGCAATGCCATGACATACATTTATGATGTTACTCCATATTCCTACACCTCCAGCTTTTTCACAATACTCTGTTCTCTTTGGAAACAGTTGTTGATGGTGTCAAGGGTAATCTGTTTATCACTGTAAAGCACAGCTGCTTGGGATTTGTTGCCTTGCAGTTTATATAAACATTAGGGGACCACATGTGCAAGGAAATAGGCAACAGCATTCCTTTTTGCCTCACTGTAAAGCAAGGAGAGCTGCTGTCTCTACTCATTTGTTTGGTTTCTCTCTTGTGTTGTTATACTTGAACTAACTTTTATCTAGCTAGCTTAGGAACAGGAGCAGGTAAGCCAAGGCAACGCAGGTTGCTGAACATGCTGTACAAGCCTTCCTGGAACTCTGGGTAATTAATTACTTGAGCACATATTGAAGTTTGTACAGATACATTTGAGACCTCAACAGTTCTATCTGCAGGTAGCAATGGAAATTTTACTTTTTGGTGGTTGTAATTTTAGGTTTTTTTCTGTTATTTTTTTCATGAGAGATAGTAATCAAAATAGCCTTAACATTTATTTCATTTTGCAAATACTAATGCAAACAGGTCAGGAGAGAGACAGTTTTTGTCAGATTTCATGTGAGCACACAACACACCAGCTTTAATTCCCCAGAGAAAATAAAACAATTGTGTGAAAAATGTTTAAATGACTATAAACATGAGCTTTCCAGAGACCAATACAATTTGGATGCTCCACACACCTTTTGAAACAACAGGTAATGAATGATTGGTTCAAGAATTTTTACAGTGTACTCAGCGAGAACTGTACATTAAACGTTACAGGTTGGACCTCACTGGTCCAGCACCCTGGGCACCTAAGCTTTCCTGGATGAGGCAACTTTCCCTGGCCTCCTCAGCCTGCTGCCCACTCCTTTAACCCCACTACTGGCCGGGTGACACAGCTGCCCTGACCCTACTCCCATTGCTGCTGCTCCAGCCACACAGCCAGCTGGCATGTAGCCCTGATCAGGCTGCTGACCTGCCGTGGCCCCAGATGGACTTCCCCTTCTGGGCTGCCGCAGCCCGGCTTTACTGCAAGCCAGGCTGCTGTGGCTCAGTCCCCACTGCCGGGAAAACACACAGCCCCACTCAGGCTGCTGCAGCACAACCCCTCTGCCAGGCCAGCATGCATGGGCTGCCCCTACTCTGCTACCACGGCCCTGCTATTACTGCCAATCTGCTGAACACCTGCCTTTGCTGCCACAAGCCTTGCCTTTTGAGGGGCTCTCAGCTGCTGGCCCTCCTGCCCCAGGGCTCTCTCTTTCAGCAGCATCCGTGGTCCTGCCGAACAACTGATGTTGCTGGACAAGAGAGTCCCAGTTTAGGGAGGTGTAACCTATAGTTTATTTTCCAGGCTAACTTCAGGATGTATTGCCAAAATAAATACATCGTAAGTAGACAAATGACAAAAAAATCCAATAATTAAACTGACATGTAACCATGAAAAAGACAAATGAGACGGTACAGTTATTCAGATTGTAGTGTCAAGTAACATTTTAGTATAATTTAGCTATAGACCATTCTCTCTCAAGCTGTTTGTGTGTTGGATGAACTTAGAAAGTCAGGCAAACTAGGAAGCTGCAGGATAAATGCCAGCATGTGATTGTGCCTGGAATGTAAATCTATGCAAGAGAACACATCGATTTACTGTACCATAAAAAAACATAGTATGTGGCTATAGGTAGAATTTGCACAGATGTATTGCATGCCAGAATTTCAAAGCTCAGTGGGCTAAATCCTGCCCCACCCTCCTACTGATCACAGTCCAAGTAACCAAAGCTCAAACCACTGCAAAAATGCTGAGGTATGAACTGTTGTGTGGGAGGCAGGACTTGAAAGAAGACTGTATATCCTCTGCACTACTATGCCCCATTCTGAGGTGAGACACAAAGGTCAGCATGTCTGAGGACTTGAGGATTGTACAGTTGATTCATGGCCTTGAGGCCAGGGCAAAAGCTAATTAATTGGGGGAAAGATTGGGGAGGAATACATATAAATACTGTAGTTTGAGTATTCTTCAGCATGGGGTGACCATGGAATTGCATTGGGTGATGTGGCACACTTTTTTGCTATGGTTGGTCAGGGAAGAAGACTTCATCCTTCAGCCCACCATAGGTCCTCTTCACCAAGCACACTTATTCAGGCTTTGTACATGGAAACAGGGTATGGCTTATTCAGGCTTTGTACATGGAAACAGGGTTTGGTATCTAGCTCAGTATCCTGTCTTTCAACAGTGGCCAATACTAACTGCCCCAGAGGAAATAAACAGAACAAGTAATCAAGTAGTCTACTCCCTATCACCCATTCCCGGCTTCTCACAGAGACTAGGGACAAGATTTCCGCCTATCCTGGATACTGTCCATTGATGAATCTGTCCTCCATGAATTTATCTATGCTGTGTTCCCAGTCAGAGTGAGAAATGTTACAAACAGAGTAGTTGCCCTTGCTCTCTGACCAAGGGAAACAGCCAGCAACAGCCACATATGAATCTGGAGTTGGAGGAGGGCTGCAACCCCCTTTTACCCTCACTAAAGGATGCCTTGGGGTAGAAACTTAGGGTTGGGGCAGTCCTGGATAGGAAGGGGCTGAGCCCCTAGCCAGCCCCTTTCACCTGACCAGTGATTCTTTCTCTTTTCTGTGTGATTTTTATGCATCCCTGCATGGATGGGGGAACACTTGAGCCCCCTCCTGCACAACCAAACTCTTACTTTGCTTTAAATTATGGTAGAGGAAGCTGCTTACCAAATTTGGTAGTCCTAGCTCTTATCTTTTAGTGGGAGTTCTTGAAGAAACAGATAGATGGGCAGATTGATGCGCTCGCTCACAGACAGACGAACTCTCTCAAATATATAATAGATTTAACTTTAAGCACATGGCAGTCCCATTTATTGGTTGCTGAATTAGGGTCTAAATTTATTTAAAATGATTAAAATGTTTTTTTTACTGATAAAATTCTATTACCGGTACATATAGAACCTGAAAATAAAGAAAGAATAGATGGACACGTTATATTAATAAATCATCATAAGAAAACATATCATTGCTTTTTTTGATAATAAAATATTTTTATTTGGTCATTAACAAAGAAACAATAACTTTACCTGGATAGATTAGTAAGATTAAGGCTAAATTTGTGTTATAGGAAGTCACTATCTTTTTTTAAATTTAGAATCATTATGTAAACATTGATTTATTTTTCAGTTTTTCAGTGTAATTTTATTTTTATTTCTGTTTGTTTGAGATACCTTTTCAATATTCAGAAGGCTTACATGCATCTGAAGTATAGGGGAAACCAGTACTGTTACTAATCCTGTCATAAGGCAAAGCCAAAATTTTTGAGGTGGCCACTATTTACCCATAAAGTTCATTAAACCTAGAGGCCCACTGTTGTGGCTGCTTTTTGCTGGTACAAAGTGCCCCCAAACTAGCATAGTTAGCCCAAAGATCATCACCCTTGTGTAAAGTGAACCTTAGATGAAGTATCTTGTAAACCACTCCCTCAACCTCTTCTGTTGTGTTAAGGGCTTGGATGGCTGGAACACCCTTAAATCAGTTTTTGAATGAAAAGGTGTTGATACAGCTATTAAAAGGCTTCTTCGTTGGCATGGTCTTTGTGCTTGTTGATTGGTTATTTTAAAAAAATTGTCACTGCATGGCAATTGGATGCTTTGTGCTTGCAGCTGTACTTGTGCAAATCAGAATCCCATTTTGCACAACTATCACCGGAGTGCTGAAAGTAGTGAGTAACTAAGTGCTTCTGGAAATGGCAGTGGAGTAAAAAGTACAGTATTTAAAAAAAAAACCTACTTGACTAAAAGTTGAAGTATCACAAAAATAAATTACTTGAGTAAAATACAAATATCAAAAAATGTATTTGAGTAGTGGAATGAAGTATTTCTACTTAGTTACTTTCCACCTCTTATAAAAACGTAAGAATGGCTATACTAGGTCAGACCAAAGGTCCATCTAGCCCAATATTCTGTCTTTTCACAGTGGCCAATGCCAGATGCCCCAAAAGGAAGTGAACAGAATCATCAACTGATCACTCTCCTGTCATCCATTTCCAGTCTCTGACAAATAGAGGCTAGGGACACCATTCCTTACCAGTCGTGGTTAGTCGTCATTGATGGATCTAAGTTCCATGAATGTATCTGGTTCTTGTTTGAACCCTGTTAAAGTCCTAGCTTTCACAACCTCTTCTGGCATGGAGTTCTACAGATTGACTCTGCTCTGAGTGAAGAAAAATTTCCTTTTGTTGGATTTAAACCTGATACCTATTAATTTCATTTGGTGACCCCTAGTTCTTATGTTTTGGGAACAAGTAAATAACTCTTCCTTATTCACTTTTTCCACACCTATCATGATTTTATATACCTCTATCATATCCCCCCTTAGACTCCTCTTTTCCAAGTTGAAAAGTCCTAGTCTCTTTGTTGAATTCAGTGTTGATAAATGCAAAGTAATACACACTGGAAAACATATTCCCAAACATACAAAGAAAATGATGGAGTCTAAATTTGCTATTTCCAAGATCTTGCTTGAGTGGTGTCACTGTGTCTGTTTCCCTGAAGACATCTACTCGATGTGCAGCAGTGCTTAGAAAACAAACACACAAAACCCAGAATTTTAGGAACCACTAGGAAAGGAATAAATAAATAAACAGAAAATGTCATAATGCCACTATATAAATTTGTGGTTTGCCCTTACCTTGTGTGCAGTTCTGATCTTCCCATGTCAGAAAAGGTATGCTAGAATTGGAAAAAGTACAGAGAAGTGCAACAAAAATTAATAGGGACAGAGTTTAAAAACACTGGGACTGTTCAACTTGGAAAAGAGCTGACCAAGGGCAGATAAGATAGATGTCTGTAGTAAATGAATAAGGAAATATTATTTATCCCTTCACAAAACACAATCACCAAGGGACAGCCAATGAAATTAATAGGTGCAGGGGGACCAACAGCTAGAGCTAGATTAAAACATGTCAAGTTTAAGAGGCCTCATTGCATTATCCCCCCAAAATGGAGTTTAGTTCTTTTTGTATTTAGAGGCCATGCTCTTGGAAGGCGTGGGGTCAGGGGCAACCAGTCCTCTACACCGCCCAGAGCACGATGTGCCCAGCCCTCAAAGCCACACAGAGCACATGGTGCAGTGCCCCATCATCACTAGGCAGCCTTAAGAACCACCCAGAGCATGGCATGACACTCCAGTGGCAATTTAAAGGGCTTAGAGCTCTGGCCATCACTGCTGCTGCAATAGTAGTGGCAGCCAGGAGCACCAGGGTCCTATGAATCACCAATGCAGGGAAGTTGCCCCCTTTGTCCCTCCCCCACTCCATTGTCAGGCCTGAATAGGCAGTAGATTTATAACAAATGTAAGTACATAATTCACATAGTGCATAATCAACCTCTGGAACTCATTGCTAGAGGATGTTATAAAGGTCAAAAGTAAAACTGGATACAAAAAAAATTAGGTAGAGTTCACGGAAGATAAGCTATTAGCCAATATGGCCAAAAACACACCACCATGTTTTGGTGTCCATGAACCTCTGATGCTAGAAGCTGTGACTGGATGACAGAGAATGGATCACTCAGTAAATTGCCCTCTTCTGTTTGCTCTTTCTGAAACATCTGGCACCAGCTTCTGTTGAAATACAGGATACTGGTCTCTGACCCAGTATGTTCATTCTTATACTCTTATTCTAACTTACATTTATTATAGTTTTCTCTGATTTTCTTTATTTTTATGTAGGATACAGAGCTACTTTACAAATGTGCTTAACTCAATCAATTTCTCTAATTTAGTTCCTATAATTTTCTATTCAGTATTTCTAATTTTGTCTGGGCACGGTACTAGACCAGACGTGTTCTCAATTAGAGGCCTAAAATTCTGCTTTCCAGTTGGTGTTCCTGCCTACTTGGTAAGCAACATAGATCTCTGTCCAAGCAGCACAGGCCTGTTTTCATCATATAAGAGATAAGATTTGCAAGGTTAAACAATAGTCTTTTATCTGGCAATTACAACATGATGTAGAATTTAGTACTTGAGCTTGTTGACCCAGTTTTTTTCTTAAGTTTCAGACAGAGTGAGGTAAATGGATTGTGATATGCACCTATAGTCAATTTAAACCAATTTGCTAGACCACATTGCTGAATGTAGTTTTAAATACAGTCGATCCTTTTTGGCTAAGAGGTTTACAAAGCTGTGTGACACAGTTGTCTCACTGGCAGACAGAACTGTTCAATAAATCAGATACCAATGATGAAGTTAGAACCTTAAATCTGCCTCGGCATTTCCAACTACCCACCCTCAACACACCCTCCCTCCACTTTCAATGTCTCACAACTTGCTGTAACTTCCATCCAAGAAAATGAAAAGATCCAAGCCTGTGGAATACTTTTTTTTTTTTGGAAGGGGGAGTATGGTTGTGTATACAAGTAGGCTACGTCTACATTGGCAAGATTTTGTGCAAATACTCTTTAATGCAGGAGTTTTTGCTTTAGAGTATTTGCACAAGAGAGCATCTACACTGGCATGTGCTTTTGCGCAAGAGATGTGCTTTTGCACAAAAGCATCCGTGCCAGTGTAGACGCTCTCTTGCGCAGGAAAGCTCCGATGGCCATTTTAACCACTGGGCTTTCTTGTGCAAGAAATTCATGTTGCCTGTCTACACTGGCCTCTTGCACAAGAACACTTGCTTATTCCTGAGCAGGAGGGCTTATTCCTGAGCAGGAGCGTCATAGTTCTTGTACAAGAAGCACTGATTTCTTACATTAGAACATCAGTGTTCTTGCGCAAGAACTCACGGCCAGTGTAGACAGGCAGCAAGTTTTTACCCCAAACCAGCTGCTTTTGCGCAAAATCTTGCCAATGTATACAAATAAAGCCCCTAATATCAGGATCTGATCATCCTAGTGTGTTAGCACACTGCTCCTCTGTTCTTTCTTTCACAGTCCATCAGAGTAATTTTAATTGCCACAGTCTTCAATATTACCAGACTTCTGTAGTTGGATTTAGTTGTGTAGTAACTGTGTTTTTTACTTTTCTTCTATTTGAATACATGTACAGTTACCATCTGTGTAACTGCTGTCTGCTTTTATAACCACTATACTATAATGTACACAATGCAATGTCAGGAGGAGTTTGTTGCCATGATGCATAGAAAATCTAGATCTAAACCCAATCTCACTGGGAGGCTGTGTCTAGACTGGCCAGTTTTTCCGGAAAATCAGCCGCTTTTCCAGAAAAACTTGTCAGCTGTCTACACTGGCCGCTTGAATTTCCATAAAAGCACTGACTTCCTACTGAAAGAAATCAGTGCTTTTTGCGGAAATACTATGCTGCTCCCATTCGGACAAAACTTTTGCACAAAAGGGCCAGTGTAGACAGCTGAGATTTGTTTTG